AGCTGTCCGTGGGGTCTCCCGGCGTCGGGATGGACTCCGAGACAGTCAGTGCGTGGGAACCACCCACGTGTGTCCTCGCGACTGCGGCTCACACGGAGAACACAGATGACTGTTCTGCGTGGAACAAAGTATATCCCTGGGTCCGTGGCCTGTGTTCCTGGGCTAGTGCCAACTGTTAATGCCTTCCGCTCCTGGCCAAAAGGTTGGAGGTTGAAGTTCACTGTAGCGGTACCTCAGAAGAAAGGCCTGGAGATACCCTGTAGAGGATCAGCCGTTGAGAACTGTAGGGCTCACCATTGGGTTTGACACACTCCGGTTGCCATGGGTTGGAATCGGCACAACAGTCGCTGCTTATATGCCCCTTGGGATTCATTGCACTGGATTTAGAATTTTCATTTCCTTGTAAATTCTCTCTGGCCCTCCCCTTGGAATCCTGTGGTTTTCAGTTTTTTCAGTTCTGGGATCTATTACATTGGTGTTCTACTAAGGCCGTTTGTGTTGCTGTCTGGTTTAATGAGCACTTGGACTTGAGTTTTACCCCAATATCCAAATAGTCTGAGTTTCTGCCATCGTGCTACCAATTTGTCTCGGGTGGGTATTGACCACGGGGGCTCTTGAAGGGTGAAATGCAGGGTAGGTCTTTTTCTTTGCTTTATGCCTGATGTCTTCCCTCCCTCCCCCCCGCCCGCCTCCCTTTAACATGACGTAGAAATAGAAATGACCATCAGATAAAAGCTCTGTGCTTTTCTGGTGCAGGCCAACTATTTCACCCTTTGCACTTGGGGTTTCTGGTTCATTGTTTTCTTGACCTGACACCGCCTCTTAATTGGAACGCACCGCTGGAGGACAGGCAGCGCTGTCAAACTTTGTGCATTTGGTGCAAAACAACTCAAAAGCACCAGACAAGCAGCTGTGGTGCCACCTCGTCCAGATGCGACCCTGAGATCCCCCGAGGGACACCTTCATTGTTTTCTCTCTTTGTTCCAGAAGCAAAGGCTGATAATGAACCGAGCTGTTCCCCGGCAGCTCAAGAACTGTTGACAAGGCTGGGATTTTTACTGGGCGAAGGGATCCCGAGTGCCACACACATAACCATTGAAGAAAAAAATGAAACCATGGTAATGTCGGAGGGAGAGGCAGCCAGCTGTTCATGCCTGCCCCACGGGTGAATACAGTGCTAACCCTCTGCTGCCCCTGCCTGGGTGCGGAGAGTCCTTGTTGGGGTCAAATGAATTCTGGGGGGTGGGGGTGGGGGTTGATGTGCATTTCCACAGTTTGTTTCTGGGTAAGATCTTGCGCTGGGGGAGTTGGGGGGAAGCCAAAGGCAGAACTTAAATCCCCAAGTTAACCTTGTCACTGCCTCATCAGTCCCCAGAGAATGGTGGCTAGCTCAATGAAAGGGGCGGAAAGAATTCCGTAGGAATGATGCCCCTTTATCGTTAAAGTACCATTCTTTTCATCTGGCTGCCTGGGTATGTGATTGGCTGTGCTTTTTTTGTAAGTTGAAATTTGGGAGGGTCAGCTGGGTGAGGAAAGATTTATTCGAGGTGAGGCAGGGAAGGACCAAATGGCTCATCGTTAAGGGGCCAGCCGTGCTGGGCCACTGCCCCATCACAGGTGTGTGCATTTGAATAGCAGTGCGGGCCTGGCACATCTGTCCCCGGGAGGCAGAGCTCTGCGAGGGTGCCCTGCGTTGACTGCGATGGAGGTGGCCACTGCTGCCGCTGCCCCGTTCTCCTCCTGACCGCTGAGCCCATCCGTCTTCAGGGTTTGCCTCGACGGCCCTGACACGTTACCAAACAGTTCCCAGGTTTCCCGTGCAGAAGTCAAACCACCCGTTTGCCTTTGGCCGACTTTAAATGAGAGGAAGTCTGCCCGTTTTGCCAGTTCTGTATAAGTGGGCATTCCCACTAAATTCTTCAAGGCTTCCCTTCCAGCCCAAAAGGGGGAGAGGGAAAAAAGAAATCACCGAGGGAGGAGGTGGAGGGCGGGTGTGGGAAGGATAAAGGTATTTTTTGCTTGGGAAATTTGGAAGGCCGTGTGCCCTTCCATGGAAGCTCCCTGGATACGAAAGGCACCCTCCCAGATTCCCTTTGTTTGGGGTTCGTCGTTTCCGAGGACGTCGGAAGCAGAAGGAATGTGTGGACGCCGCGCTAACTCCTCGTTCCATTCGTCTTGCAGTGCACGGCTCCTAGCCAAGGCATCAGCCCTTGCTCCACCCTCACAAGCAGCACCGCATCTCCCAGCACCGATAGCCCCTGCTCGACCTTGAATAGCTGTGTCAGCAAGACGGCAGCCAGCAAAAGTCCCTGTGAGACCGTTAGCAGCCCTAGTTCCACCCTGGAAAGCAAGGACAGTGGAATTATAGGTAAGCAGCACACTGCTCAGTAATGGAATGTCGCGGTGCACAGCAGCCTGGAGCATTAGACAGGCACTTCTCTAACAGGGTTTGTCGAGCGGCCTGTGAAGGTCGTGCCTGCCCTCCTCTCTGCATTTTGAGGACGGCCCCGGCTCCGTGTGCAGCGTAACAGCTTTTAAATCCCTTGATGCTTCTTTCGCAAGTCCATGCTTCCTGGGTAAAATCTTTTCCTGATTAGAGTTGCCCAGTGTCCTTAGAAAAACCTCCCTAACTTGTCTTGTTCCATTTGCTGGGGGCTAGTGTCCCACTGGGGCATACAGCAGGGAAATGCAAGAGTGCATTTTCCGGAGTCTCCACTCGATCTCGGGGTTATTTTCCCCACAACGGTTCAGACCTTTGATTTTTGGTGTTTCTTATAATGAAATCTAACCATGGCCTTGAGGCCTTAGAATTCCTACGCGGCCCTCCCGTGTCTCACAGACCCTCACTCACACTATAGGTGAGGTGGCAAAGAGACAAGAGTTCTAGTCCTGATTACTACACTGACTAGCCAGCCAGATACCATGAGGTCAGTAGATTATGGACTTTTCTGCACACTGTTCTCTGTCTGGGTAAAGATTTGGTCACCAACCCAGCTGTGTATTAGAGCTGTCTCGAGGGTGTGTTAAGAGCCCCTGTACCCTAGATCCCATTCCTAGTAGACTGTCCCCATTTCTGAGGGTGGACCCAGGCCTCGGTATTTCTCCAGCTTGGCCCGTTTCATTCAGAGAACACAGGAATAGCTACTACGCTGCTCTGAGTCCTTCCCTGTTCTCAGCGGTCTCAGTAGCGGGTCTGTACTGAGCTGTCTGTTTTGCTGAGCTACCCTGTGTCTTTGACGGCTATTTTAAGTTTGGTTATGGACTGACCCCACTTAACATCTCAGTGGAATAGCATTTGAGTTCCTTTTTTTTTTTATGTTAATTCTGATTCATAACAACCCTATAAAAGGGTTCTGAGATGGTAAATCTTTTTTTTTTTTTACTACTTTTTTTTTAAACATTTTATTAGGGGCTCATACAACTGTTATCCCAATCCATACACACATCAATTGTGTAAAGCGCATTTGTACATC